TGTTTGATGTTTATGAAGTGAGCTTTAACACATCTGCATCGTTAATTTAAGCATGCACAGAAATCTGAGTAATGTTTGAGTAGATTGCCAAGCTCCACTGTGATTCATGAATGAGTTTCTCATAGTCTGCTACCTGAAGTTTTATACTTTGAGGGTCACCCATATTTGTGGGTTAGAGTTAAGAATATGAATCCAATTATCAGAGTATTCATCCCTGGGGTTTTGAGTTTTATTGTGGTGATTTTCTTATGAGAAAGTAGGCAACTTCAATTTTCCTTGAGGGGGAAAAAACATAACCCCCCAACCTTTTTTCACCCATGACTTGAGCCCTGAAACAACAGCCTTTGTGTTTTCAGTGCAGGATTTCTTGGAATTTCTTGCTTGTATCAATCCTGATGATAGCCATCCTGAACAGATGCTTCTGGTGTGTTTTCCTGGAAGAGCAGACATCCTTTTGAACACTAATGATGCCAGGAAGAGGGTACGGCTAGAGGAGGAGACTGTCATTTTAACCCCAATCCAGTGGCTTGTCTCCCAACAGGCCATTTCCCTTGACATTCCTTCACAGACAGAAATGGCTGTTAAAAATGTTTTAACCTCATGTATGAACTGAATTTAAAAAACCAGTAAAGTGATACTTTATACTTCTGATGTTTTACTGCCTAGTGGGTTTTCTTTAATTTGGATTTTTGTCAGGATGTAGCTTTTCCTCAACTGTATTTCTGTAGCTCTTTTTCTCTGGAGTATTCATGGAAAGCATCTACTGCCGGATGACACTAGTACTGTGCCTTCTTTCATTGCCCTCGGCTCTGCAGCTCTCACCCAGCTTGGCTGCTTCAAGTCTGTGCAGTTGACTTGACTGTACTGAAAAGTGAACAGCATGAATTAACTCATCCTGCTGCCGAGGGCAGTGCAAACAGGTGCTTATTACAGGTAGTGACTTGCTTAATTAGTGAAACTCTTAATTTCTACTATAGATAATTTCAAAATAGAATCACTCTATGCTTAAAGTTTTGGCACCAATGCTGTAGGACAGCATAATCTATTCTCAGTAAAATAACTTCAGGTTTATTAGATATTCTGTATTGGATTTTACCAGCTTGACTTTGACTGCTCCAATACCTTTTTTTTTTTTTTTCCTTCCCCCACTCCACCCGCTTTAGATGCTATAAATTTCTTGGGAAGAGTCACTGTTCTTAAGGTTTTTACAGATACCCACCTTAGTTGTAAATTGGATAAATTTCTGGGACTTTTTAAATGAAAAAGAATGTGGAATCTTAAGTTACAGAAGACTATTTTTATCAGAAAATTTCAAACAAAGTAGACATGGTGTTTCATAGTCCTGTAAAATCGAGGTGCTCCCACCACCAAAGGCACACCCTGCAAAGGGCTGTGAACTATCTTGGTGAACTCTCTTGGGTCCCCTTCCCATGTATGTTTTCTTGTCACTGAAAACAATGCTGAGTTTCTCAAGAAAATTTAAATTGGGGGGATCATAATAATTCCAACCAAGTGACAACTCTGAGGTCAAGGTTATTAGGAGCTGTACATCTAATTCAAGCTTTATTTGCTGCTATTCTGGGAGAATACAACTACTAATAAACTTGTATCAAGGAAATCCATAAAGTTATAAATTAGCCTGAAAAATATTTCAGGTAATGGTGTGGATTGGCCTGCTATGACTATCAGCCACCAACAGAACTCTGTCACCTTTGTTCCTCAGCTAAAAGTAATTTTGTTATAAACACAAAAGCGATTTTAAACAGATAAAAAACCCATTCCTATTTTTGTACATTACTAAAAGTTTTTCATATACCTACAGAGCTAACTAATTATAACTGATTTAATCCCACTCAAGTTTAGACCAATTAAACCCATATGATCCTGTATGGTTATCGGTGTGATGACTTGATTTTCATAAAATAGGTATAATTGGGTCATACACTTGATGAGAGGGTGACTGTTTCTAGGGGGAAAAAACCCTTTAGAATGCAAGTACCTTTTGGCACTTTGATTTTTTTTAATATACACTTTACATTTGTATAAATCATGCAGGGTACTCCTAACCCTGTAGGAATATATGACCTCTCACAAAGTTGAGATTTGATCCAAAGAGAAATGCAAGTATAAAAGAATTAGATAACTATTATCTCTTAAGGTTTGTTTTTTTGTTTGTTTGTTTGTTTTTTTGTTTTGGTAGAGACGGGGGTCTCACTGTGTTGCCCAGGCTGGTGTCAAACTCCTGGCCACAAGTGATCTTCCTGCCTCAGCCTCCCAAAGTGCTGGGATTACAGGCATTCCTTTTAAAATTCAAAGAGAACATTTCTACACCTTTATCCCTCAAACAAAACAAGTGCTCAGTTCTTACCGTGCCCTTGCAAGGTCTGTATGTAAAAGAAATCTGAAATTTAGCTGTAGAATAAAACTTGCTAAATAAAAAGGAAAAACATACTTGGTAAGTGCCGTAAAATTTCTCCAGTTGGTTTTCTCTTTGCTTGTTGAAATAATAAACCATTTTAAAGAGAAAATACTTGCTGTAAACCCCCAGTGCCTTCAACTCTTTTGGCAGAATATTTTTAAAGAAATCCAGCAAGCAAACTTTGAGGTGCTAATGAAAGTAAAGGAAGGTGGTATTTCTAGTTTTGGCAGAAATGGGAAGTGTCTCACAAGAGACATCACTACCCACATGGGGTCTGGCTGCTTTCTACCAAAGACATTTAGAAAAGTGAATTGAGTCAGGGTGATGGTGAACACTATGTATTTTATAGATGGTTACGTTGGGAAGTGATTGTGTTTATCATGGCGGCTACTAATACCAAGCTCGTGATTGCTGAAGCCTCAGCATCTTAGGCAGTAAGACTTGTCTGCAGCACTAAAGGGGGGGAAACCCTTATATTTTGCGAACTGTCCATTCATTAAATTTATTGTAACCTAATACCAAAAACAGCCATTTTTCATATTTCCCCACCTCCTACATTTTTTTTTCGCTACTTGTAAATAATCCCTCCTAGAAAATAAGCATTAACTGGAATGTTTCAAATGATTTTGCTTCATTTTACTATCAGCCACTAGTGAACTCTTACAGAGATGTACATTTGAGATAAAATTAGCTTGTGCTAAGTGTTGTAAAAACCTTGTTTACTGTTGAAGGAGAATTGCACATTATATTTAACTGGGATTGCTCCTCCCTCAGTTCTTTAAAAAACAGTCAAGGCTCACACCAACTTCTAGGCTGTGGGAGCTTTGCCATAAGTAGATACAATGTAGAAATATACTTTTTTAAAGCATGAAAAAGACAAGGAACTTCATTATAATGTACCAGGTAGAAGACATTATTATTCAAAGGATTATGCACAGCTCAGTGAAGATGAAGTTACAATTTTTCTTGCAGCTTTGTTATTACTTTCTTCTGCATAAATGTATGCTCATTTCATTATGTGCCTTGCTCCGATTGTGCAAAGCTATATATATATAGATATATATATGAGAGAGATATATTCAGTACTACTGAGGAGGTTTTTGTTCTGCTGGATTAAGTTATTTTCCAAGTTACTCTTGCCAGTTATGTCAGTAAACTATTGTAATGGCTTAGCACACTAGTCGTACAGTCAGTGTAAATGTTTTTCAGTTACATGTTTTCACTATGTCAGCTTATCAAATCCTTAATAAAAAAAATCATAGATTTCATTTAAACATGGGGACTTTGAGTGTTTGTGGATCGGCACCATTAAGAACCTGGTTTTGCATTTTGTATCAGGGTACCCAGAACATAGGCCATACACAGAAGAAATTAAGTGTGGTAAATAAATTAGTTTGATATGTTCAGTTTGTTAACTTTTAAGAGTATTTTATACCAACTAGGGAAATTTGGCCATTAAATACACTGGTGATTAAGTGACAACAGCTTTTAAAGATTTTTCTTCTTTAAACAAAGAACTAGGTACAAACTAATACAAAAAGGAATGCCTTTTGTTTCAAATCATCTTTGGAGTCACAATTGCGTGTTGGACTGCCGTGTGAAGGTATGTATAAATGTGTAATGTGTTTGCAATCACTTTATTATGTACCAAACTAGGGCAAAAGACGTAGAAGCCTTCCCCTTTCGTTCACCGTCTGTCAATCAATCAATCAATCAATCATACGTGGTTCTGGAAACTGCACCTGTACTTACGCCTTCAGAAACAGCAGCGTACACAGGCTGACAGGAAAACAGAACACATTGCATATGCCCCTTAATTGGCAGATGCCTCAAATCCAACCAAATTTGTAATTCCGAAGTAACCCAAAAAGAGCCAAGCAATAGGGTCATTAACAAAAGACTGGATACTATCATCTTTGAGACAAGACTGCTCTAACGCCTACAATCCTATTCACAAATACGAGAAACCCATAAATGTTTTAGCTGGGTATTTCAGTTTTCTACATTATTCTTCACCTTACCTAATGATACCAAAATAATAAAGGTACAGAGGAAATAAGATGGGCTTGAAAAGTGAGAAAAGCTGAAACATTATTTTGGGTATTGTGGAGACAAACTATTGCTACCCTCAGATACATCATTAGAAAATTCTTTTATAATCTAGGCTCTTACAGCAACAAAGCACAGGCTAGCTACTGGTTTGTCTTTTAGATTCACTTCTGACCAGTCTGCAATAATTTTTAGTCAACACCTATCATCTTCGGTGTTTTTTTAAAAAAAAAAAAACTGTACATTAACAATTAAATTTGGAGGAAAGTGGTAAGAAAACCCCAGGTTCGAGTGGAGCAAAAACAGGGTTAGAAAGTTCTTAATTAGAACAGCTGTCTTGAGGGAAGAAACTTGAGATCGAATTTAAAGCTGAACATTTTAAATATTTGAAAATTTAAAAAGACTTCAGTAATAAAAAGCAGCTCCCTGGTTTAGAGCAACAGGAAAGTCAGATTATCCCTAACATGTAAACTCAGAATACCACCTTAGAAAAAGAGGTTATTTATACAAATAAGTTAACAAGACACCTGAATATACTTTGTGGGATTTTATTTACGTCAAGTTCTTAGTACACGGCAACAATTCCAAATACAATTAAAAAATTAAAAAGTGATGTTCCTCCGCTCATCTGGAGGTGTTTAATGGCACACAAGGAACATTACTGGCAACAGACTGCTCCCTCAAGTTCCCCTGGATGGTTTTTACTCAACTCCTAATACCACCAACTCTCCCTCTGGAAGCTAAAAGTACAACTGGCCAGATCACAAATTGTTTACATTCTGTTTTGTAAGCCATTTTAAGAAATATGGTGCATGGACACAAAATATGATAAAAACTGCTTTTCCATAGAACTCTTAACTTGCAAAAGAGGTTTCATTTTAATGTGAAAATAAGCTTTTTTTGTTGGTTTTTTTTTTTTGGGTTTTTTGTTTTTTGTTTTTTTTTTTAACAAAAAAACCTTGATATTCAGCAAGGATCGTTTATACACAGCTAGGCCCTGTCGTTTTGTAATTTTTTTTTTTAGACTTACGAGAGTCTCAATAAAACAGGAACAAAGGTCAGCACAAAGTAAACTTAAAGGTAATGAGCTCGATGCCTCCATTTAATCACTTTTATAAGGCTCTCTCCAATAAGGCTGCTGTGCCGTGCTCCTGCCAGTGTTGAATTAATATGACATTTTTACTGCACACACCTTATGGGAAAAGTGTTTACACTGAGTGTAGTTTTAGGAGGGATAAATGAAGAGTATTTCCACGAATTAAGGTTGTGCTTAGTACACGCCTTTACACAACTCTGATGGTATTTACCAAAACATGGCATGTCTTTTCAAGTATATTCCTGAAAACATCAAATAGAACTCTTTTAAAGAAAAATATAGCACATTTAGTTAAGACAGTTGTGGTGCAGTGGAAAACAGTACTGAGCACTGAGTAAGAATTCTTAACTAGCTGTTCCTATGAAGAAGAAAACTCACCTCATCAGTCTAATGAGACAACCAGAAATTTAAAAATCTGATCTAGCTCAAATTCAGTGATTCTAGATCATATGGGGGAAACTGTCACCTTAACACCAATCAGGAGTTCCTGGCCAAAAAGACCAGAAGTGAACAGATCCCATTCTTTTCAAAGGCTTGTCAGTCACCTGCGAATTCCTCCAAAAATACCTTTTTCAAAGGCAAAGGTGACCTTCAGGACATGTCATGCTCTCTCCACAAAGGAGAAAAGAAAAGGTAGTAAAAGATAAAAACAGTTCTTAATGCAGAAATGTCACCTACTAAAAGAAAATGAACATAAGATAAAAGCAAACTACCATCATTTTGATGCCTCCCTCCCAAAGAAAAATCTTTAGTTATCTTTATCTTCAACATAAACTGCCAAGGAGCGCAGATACAGTCCAGACATCATGGTAAAGATGCATAAAATATTCTCTAGCCGGATAATGAACACCAGCAGTAGGAAAAAGGGGATGAAAATGTCTCACACCCAGTAACATTTAGGAACATAGCTAAATTAGCAGGCCATTGTCAACTCTAAAATGGGAACAGCAGGCGCCTCTGAGGGAGATTGAAAGGAAGTAGCTAAATGATGGAAAATATTAAACAAGATACCTTAGAAGATTCATATTTATTCCAAACGGCAGGCTGAATCAGATTTTGACACGTTGGCACTATTTCTGTTTCTGATTTACTGCCTTGGCCATAAGGTCAAAGGCAACAAAGTGTATTTTCATTAATATCCCCATGGACTTTCGAGTATTAATATGACAAAATAAAAAGACAACTTTTTTTTTTTTTTTAAGGGGATTGGACACACAAACTTCAGGAGAGAAGATTCCCCTCTCCCATTAGATTCCCTCTATCCTGATAAAATGGTTGCTTTATTGGTCAGATTTTAGACTTGGATTGTATATTAATAGTACACAGCATGTAAGATTTTCTGCATTCATTTAAAATTCCTAATACCATCTTTTAATTTATTAAAAAAAGAGGGAAACTTACAATAAAACAAAAACTACTACCCTCACAGACGATTAATAGCATGCAATCTATGAAATACTACATACATCAAAAGTCTCCAATTACTGTGCACCTGGCCCATCACACAGTATCCTTCCAAGACAATCTATAGAATTCAAAACTGTACAAAAATTTTAAAATATGCAGAAAACCCAAAAGGTATTGTTTGTAAAACAAAGATCACACACACATTAGTACTAAATAGGGAAAAAAAATCAGCAGACCCATGGACTCCCCCTGCTCCCAACCGCAGGTCTTCAGTATAAAGGACTTCGTCAGTGTCTTCTGCACTCCCCCCATCCAGCAGGGGTCCAACAGACCAGCTGCATTCCTGCTGACTGCCACCAACTCTGTTTTTTGCATAGTTGTCTTCTCTGCTTCTGTAGTGGTGAGCTGTGGGAACTTTCTTTTTTTTTTTTTTTGGATGGAGTCTCGCTCTGTCACCAGGCTGGAGTGCAGTGGCACAATCTTGGCTCACTGCAACCTCTGTCTCCCGGGTTCAAGCGATTCTCCTACCTCAGCCACCTGGGACTACAGGTGTGCACCACCACACCCAGCTAATTTTTGTATTTTTAGTAGAGACAGAGTTTCCCCATGTTGGCTAGGATGGTCTCGATTTATTGACCTCATGATCCACCCGCCTCAGCCTCCCAAAGTGCTAGGATTACAGGCGTGAGCCACCACGCCCAGCCTGTGGGAACTATTTGTTGGATTTCAAAACACCCTCTGCCTCATTAATCCACTAAGCTTTCTCAGCAAAAAGCTGTTTAAATAAATAATGGGAACATCTAATTTCAAAACAGTTTTTCTAATTATAGACCAGTACACTAAGAAGAGCTTAACTTATCTAAGTATAGTCTAGTTTGGGTCCAAAATGGAGCTAAGGGCTCAGAGGACATTCAGGGCCATTACACTGCAGGAAAACAAGGAATAAGGGATGTAGAAATGACCTAAGAAAAGCATGAAGTGGAATGTATACTGGAGGCAAGTTAATGAAAGCTAATGAATACAAAGTGCTGGGAAAAATCTAAAAGCAAAATAGCTATTTTAACTTGCAATGCGTTAAAAACTTTAAAACCAAAAAGTCTTGATAAGGAGAGTGTTAGCGGGGTCTCAGTTAAAGGCTGATGATTTTTTATGCTCAGATAACATTTATAAGTGGAATATTACCTTCTGCCTCCTACACTATTTGAATTTCCTCACACTACACTTGTTCATTTTTCAATCAAGTTACTCTTTCTGAATTTGTTCAAGACCTCATTTGAAATATATCCAGCTATTGCTTTTCCCCTTTCACCTAGCACAGGGCAGTTACCTGGCAAAGCTCTATTCTGGCCAAGTCACTGGGACTGAGTAGAACCCATGTCACGAGCTCTGGACCTGAACAGGAGCTGGCCCACCGTCACAGAGACCACCTATAGAGACAAGCCCTCCTGGATTTTTTTCAATATTTCTTATACTGACTACAGTAGTGATTAAAGCCATGTGCCCTATAGACTCCATTGAATTTGAAGCTGTATTTATTGTATAGATGGGGGAAATGTATTTTACTCTGTCAAAGTTATATTAATTTTTAGCAATGTGATTAGATACGTATTTCGGCCTATTAATCTTACTCATTATATTCTTAGTCTGAGATGGGTTTGAATTCTGACTAACAGCAGCTACTTAAGAGTCCAATCATACAAAATCAGGAGAGAATTACCTTTTCTACAGCTAAGCGAGTCAATGATACAGCAGCAACTAATACTGGCCATTAGTAACATCCAGAGAGCACACTAGCAAACCTTTTACTCCCAGTGACTGTCAAGAGACTTGAAAATAACTACTATTCTCTTCCAAAGTAGAATAGCGTTTTTCTAAATAGTGAAAGAAATGATAGTCAGTTGGTCTGAACTCCAAGATCCTACTCCTCAAAACAACACCGAAGGCAGGGGTTCAGGATGCCTGCTAAGAGCATTTCCACAGTTCAAGTCTCTTCAGAACCTTAGGGACCTTCATGTCTAGCTTCACATACCCATCTCCACACATGAACCAGAATACCACACTTCACATCTGGGTACACTGGCCATTAGCAACAATACAGTCTCATGCAGCAGCACATTAAAATCAAACGGGTGGCAATCATTCACTACCCTCAGAGTGCTGGGAGACTTTCACATTTCATCATCCTCATAATCCACAAACTGAGAAACATGAAGGGATGCAAGTGAGTTCAGCATTCACTCATCTGGTGCACTCAAGTGCTGAGAGAATGCAGAATTTACAGTGTTACAGAGGAAAAAGCCATCTGAAATAATTGTAAAAATGGTTAAGTGTGGTATTTAAATATTGGTTCCCTCCTCTTCATGCAAGTGGAAGAAAAGGAGGAGCTAGGGTACCCACTGGGCCATGAGGTTAACCCCTTAGCACAGGCAATGAAGAACATCCAATGCCACAAATTCTGCAGGAGGAGAAATCCCAAGGGTATACAGCATTCCTGAGAAAGATCCCAGATTTTTCTGAATCAGTCTTAATCTGATTTTGTTTTGGCTACACAGTTATATTGTTATACCTTTGACATATACAAAAATGGTTATTTTATTTCAATCCAGACAGCTCAGCATTGTACAAATGACAGCAGAAAGATCCGTTTGTTCAGACTCAGCTTGCTTTTTTTGTTTTTAATACTGGGGGATAAACCAAAAGAAAGTGTAATTTTTATCATTTGTATCCTTCATTCTACTTTACTGGAGTGGAATCCCCAGGGCCTTCAGATAATCTGGGAAGACCTGACTATTTCTGTGAGGCAAGCACAGCCCTGCCGAGCTTTACTCAGAATAATGCATGATAGACTCAACATAATTCCCAGGAAAAAGCCCAGTCACTCCATTCATAACTCCCTCATACCAACCATCGTCATTCTTCTTGATGACATAAATAATGGCTCCTTCCTGAAAGGACAGCTCATCTTCCTTGTCTTTTGTATAGTCATAAATTGCCACAACTAGGAGGGAAGAAAACAAAATAGGATGTGAAAGAGAGTAATAGTCCTAGAAAGACAGAACCAAGCCGATGAATATCTATCCTTTCCCAAATCCTGCAGCACTCAAACATGGTGACTTTCTAAACACCAACCAAAATGTACATATTATTTTTCTAAGTAATACCCAGTCATATACAATGAAATTCCATTTTCTAGGGATATTAGGCTCTAAATTGAGTACAAATGGGGGAAAAGCACATTTAATTGAATGTGCTTTTGATTACCTTTCAAGAGCCTACAGGGAAGTACCTCAATGAAGAGGTACACAATCTTAGAATCAAGAAAGATGGCTGTTTCTTCATTTGAGTTTGTGTTGAGATACCATATTTTGTTTTGTTTTGTTTTAAAAAAGTTTTCTTTACCTTAGAAGTATACTAGGGCAATGAGATACACTATGAGAGGCAAGTGAGAAACCAGACAGACTAATGGAGCAGCAGATTTCTGTCTCCTCTATCACTCTCTCTGGAGCCTATGTCTCTTCACTAAGTAGAATGGTGGTTGAATTAAATGTCTGAGTTGAGTTAAACGTATGAATGATGGGAGTCCACTACATATATTCTTTCAAACCATATGCTGCATTATGTCACCAATTTAATATAACCATAACAACAGTCTAAGAGTGCCAAGAAAATCAGATACCTATAAGCTCTCCTGTGATTTTTCACTGCTTAAATCACTTGGTAACTTGGCTCTTTCGGCCATTATCTCAGTGGTTATTTCAACTGTTATCTTACTTCAACCAGATAATCTCTGGTTCCCAAGTATTGTATCAACTTCAACAGTTTAGTTATATTGGGCTGCCCTGTAACTTGCTCAAATCCACTTGAAGAGTTATCCTTTGCTCCAACCTCTTCATCTCCTGTACCTTTTTTATACCACTCAATGAAATCTCCACCTATCCACTGTTCCCAGACAAATACACCGTCTTTGTTAGTTTCTCATGCAACCTTGTGCCTCACATAAATAAATGAGAAACAAATTACAACAGGGACTTCTGATATAATGTAATGTGCCCTAAAGAAAATTCATTTCTGGCCTGCTTTAATAAAAATTAAATAGCTTCCTTAAATTGTGAATATTTTCCATTGTAGTGATATTGTAGGAACACCAGAATTTTTTTTTTTTTTTTTTTTGAGACAGTCTCACTCTTATCACCTAGGCTGGAGTGCAGTGGTGCGATCTTGGCTCCCTGCAATCTCCGCATCCCAGGTTCAAGCCATTCTCCTGCCTCAGCCTCCCAAGTAGCTGGGACTACAGGTGCCCACCACCATGCCCAGCTAACTTTTTTTTTTTTTTAGCAGAGACAGAGTTTTGCCATGTTGGCCAAGCTGGTCTTGAACTCCTGACCTCAGGTGATCCACTTGCCTCAGCCTCCCAAAGTGCTGGGATTACAGGCGTGAGCCACCTGCACCCGGCCAGAAAATACTTTAGAGGATCCTTGCTATGAAGAGATCAGTGTGCATTTCTCAATATATAACCAAATGCCTGAACACAATCAAATGTAGTTAAATGGCATACAAGTTTAAATATAAGAAAATATGAAAAAAACCCAGAAAATACAATTTAGAATATTTAGTATTTCTAGTCAACCTAATATTTTCTAGTGTTTTTTTTAAGGAAAGACAACATTTCTGATGCTTCAAGAAATGCAAATCCAGCCAGGCGCGGTGGCTCACAACTGTAATCCCAGTACTTCAGGAGGCTGAGGCGGGTGGATCACAAGGTCAGGAGATCGAGACCATCCTGGCTAACACGGTGAAACCCTGTCTCTACTAAAAACACAAAAAAATTAGCTGGGCGTGTTGGCGGGCACCTGTAATCCCAGCTACTCGGGAGGCTGGGGCTGGAGAATGGTGTGAACCTGGGAGGCGGAGCTTGCAGTGAGCCCAGATCATGCCACTGCACTCCAGCCTGGGCAATAGAGCAAGACTCCATCTCAGAAAAAAAAAAAAAAAAGAAAGAAAGAAATGCAAACCCTTGGCCGGGCACGATGGCTCATGCCTGTAATCCCAACACTTTAGGAGGCCAAGGCAGGAGGATTGCTCAGAAGTTCGAGACCAGCCTGGCCAACATGGTGAAACCCATCTCTACTAAAAATACAAAAATTAGCCGAGCGTGGTGGTGGGCGCCTGTAATCTCAGCTACTCGGGAGGCTGAGGCAGGAGAACTGCTTGAGTGAGCTGAGATCACACCACTTCCCTCTAGCCTTGGTGACAGAGCGAGGCACTTGTCTCAAAAAAGAAAAATAAGAGAAAGAAAAAGACATGCAAACCCATGAAAAGTAATGCAGAACAGAATATGAAGCCTGTTGTAACAGATGCTTTGAAGTGGAAAGTTAGTAAGCTCTATGTACATTCATTTTCTTCTTCAAAATGTAGAAATTGCCAGCCTGAGCAACATGGCAAAACCCCATCTCTACAAAAAAAAAAAAAAAAAAAAGCCTGGCATGGTAGCACGTGCCTGTGGTCCCAGCTACTTGGGAGAATCACCTGAGCTCACCAAAGTTGAGGCCGAAATAAGCCGTGATTGTCCCACTGCACTCTAGCCTGGGTAACAGAGTGAGACTCTGTCTCAAAACAAATCAAAAGTAGAAACTGGATTAGACAGAATTTACACTAAACCTGATTCCAGAGACTCTGTTTATAGTGGTATAAAGCTGAGAGTTTTAACAACTGTTCAGTTTTTTCTTTTGCCAAAATTTGTATTCACTATTTTAAAATTAACTTTTTCAAAAATCAGAAATATGCTAAGAATATTCATTTTCTGGCTGGGCACTGTGGCTCACACCTATAATCCCAGAACTTTGGGAGGCCGAGGCAGGAGAATCACTTGAGGCCATAAGTTCAAGACTAGCCTGGGAAACATAGCAAAACCCGGTCCCTAAAAAAATTAAAAACAATAAATTAGCCAGGCATGGTGGTACATGTCTGTGGTCCCAGCTACTTGGGAGGCTGAGGCGGGAGGACTGCTTGAGCCCAGGAGGTTGAGGTTGCAGTGAGCAGTGAACGTACCACTGCACTCCAGCCCAGGTGACACAACAAGACCCTGTCTCTAAAAAACATAAGTAATGTTTAAACGAATATTCATTTTCACTCCAGGGAAAGATATATACCAGTAGTTTACTTCACCTAATTCTTTACCGTAAAGCTATTCATCAAAAAGGAAAATACACTTGATTGAGTGCAACAAACTTTTATCAAAGTAACTTCAGAGCGGTGTAATAAAGTATCTTCTCTGTTTTCACCAATATTCAAAATGCTGATGTTGAGAAATGTAAAATCTGTCTAGATTTTATTTAGTCTGGAAAATTGGTTTTCGCAATAGTGAAGAAAGTCATTTTTTGCAATTATGCATGTATATCACATGTAGTGTCAAAATCACATGGGGAACTGATAAATCACATGTAAGAAAAAACTTAAAATGCTAAACATCTGGTTTTTGTGCAGTTATGATTGAAACAGAAAAGGACTTACACTGTTTTACTAAATGTTTCTGCTAAAGTAAAAATAAATTCTACATTTCAAAGTACGTTGTTCATATTTAGCATTTCAATTGAAGACATTCTAGAATATTTTATGAAGGTCTGTAAAACTGAACAAAACTTCTTAAATGTTTCTCTTTTTAATTTTAATCCTATAATTTTATACGAAGTATGCTGCAGAGTTAAAGATAAGCAAAGAATAATGGTACCATACCATTAGAAAAGGACCCAGACTGGGCTGGGCATGGTGCCTCATGCCTCCAGCACTTTGGGAGGCCGAGGCAGGCGGATCACAAGGTCAGGTTCGAGACCAGCCTGGCCAATATGGTGAAACCCCACCTCTACTAAAAATGCAAAAATTATCAGGCGTGGTGGCGGGCGCCTGTAGTCCCAGCTACTCAGGAGGCTGAGGCAGGAGAATGGCGTGAACCCAGGAGGCGGAGCTTGCAGTGAGCGGAGATCGCTCCACTGCACTCCAGCCTAGGTGACAGAGCGAGACTCCATCTAAAAAAAAAAAAAAAAAAAAAAAAAGAG